CATACCTTTATAATGCCTATTTGTTTGAAGTAGTCTGCCACTTGATCTGTTGAAACATCCTCTCCAAGTCCTTGCACAAAGATGGTGTTGTTATCAGAGTTGTCAGACTCTGAATCTATTAAAAAACAAACTACATTTAGCACACAACTTTGTGGTTAACAACAAAAGCAGTATCCTAAACTCAGGTCCCTGCTGGCCAGGAGCAGATGCTTAAATCCCTAAAGAGTCTTGTGTGAAACAGAAGACAAGTAGGAGCATAATCCTGAGCATCATTAACTTCAGCAGTGCGTGCACAGCACTTTCAGATGCTGCACACTCAACTTGTCCTTGGGACATCCAAATCCATCAGAAATATATATTTAAAATAGTATACATTTAGAAGAAGTATTATGGAAGTGAAAGTAGTTGTTTGGCTCAAGTTTCAAGATCTGAAATTCATATTATTTCTTATCTATCGTATGAAAAAAATGTTCAAGTCATGTTTGAGTCATGGAAACTGCAGCCATATCCATCCATCTATATGTATATTTTAAAAGGAATTACATAAAATCTATGATCCCCCCATGCCCCCTGCTTGCTTTCTTACCAGCATCTGATTTCTGTCCATAATCCCTTTGACCTATGAAATGGATTTAAAAAAAAAGACTATTTTTAGCAAAGAGTGATTTCTAAAAAATAGAACAATATATTTAAACTAGATATGCAATGCATCTAATATCTAAGACACTAACTACAGATTTAGAGCATATTTAAATTAAAATGTTCAATAGAAGACATCGGTAGGACATTAACATGTTCTTATATTCTTTAATTTGCAGTGTGTGGCAGTTGCCACACTGATGTTATGCTGGTGTTATCTTGCAAATGCTGGTTGTCAGATCACCAAGCAGTTTACCACATTTTTTTTCTCTAGTACCTTTCTAGGCAGGATTTGTAACAACAACAAAAATCCGGTGAATGTCACTGTCTCCACAAATTCTTTCATGCAATTTGACAAAGGAGAAATCCAGTT